AAAAAAAAAAAAAAAAAGAAATATTCAAATTATCAGTTCCCTCATTTATACACCCAGAAGCAGTATGAGTCCTAGTTATTCCTAATTCTCTCCATTTAATTTTTTAAATTTTAGCTATTTTAGGAGGTGTTAAATGTATTTCATTGTGCTTCAATTTGCATTTCTCTGGTGACCTTTGAGGTAGCACACCTCAGAAAGTTCTACTTTCTACCCTGAAGGTTTCCATGAGGCAGGGTGAGCCTGTAGAGGCCTTCCAGGCAATTCCCTGGTCACCTCTGTGGGCTTGAGCTCCAACCCTGGGTCCAAAGCTTCATTTACTTCTAGGTGGCTAGTATCTTGCCCCTCTGTGTTCTTGGCTGTAAAGTGCAATAGTATCTTTTTTGGAGGGTAGCTGAGGATTAGATAATGTTGATAAGGTGACCAGCTTGGTATGTGGCCCTTAATATGAGCCCAGCAAATACTGTTGGTTTGGGCTCATGCCTGTAATCCTAGCACTCTGGGAGACCAAAGTCGGTGGATTGTTTGAGCTCATGAGTTTGTGCCTGAGCAAGACTGAGAGCCCATCTCTAAAAAATAGCCAGGTGTTGTGGCTAGCGCCTGTAGACCCAGCTACTCAAGAGGCTGAGGCAAGGGGATCACTTGAGCCCAAGATTTTGAGGTTGCTATGCGCTGACACCACTGCACCCTACTGAGGACAACAAAGTGACACTATCTCAAAAATAAAGAAAGAAAGAAAGACATGCTGCAGATCCTCTTTTCTTCCCAGAGGAGGAAATCGAGGCCTGGCCAATTAAAATATGAATCCAAAGCAACCTGCTAATTGGGGAAGAATTGGCATAAAGCCCAAGTCACCTCATTCCCCTGCAGTTTCCAGCTTCCCCACCACACATCACATAAAGCCTAAGCCTGAGTTGTCTTCGTGGAGATCATTGAGTTAAGGCAGAGACCATAGCCAGATCTGGGGACAAAGGGTACATTTCCATCTCAGGCTGTTGAAGCATTCTTCTAGAGAGGCTATAGTCTCCATCTCAGGCTTAAGATAGTTTAGCTCTGGCTTGTTTGCTTTTCCAAAATACACCAGTACAGTATGCAAGTAACAAGCACAAAATGAATTCTGTTCCAGTTACTTTTATTCTCTCTCTGCCCTAAGGCCCGTGGAGAGGGCACCGGATTCAAGTATCAGTGGTGTCATTATCCCTACTTATCGGTGAAGAATGACACAGCAGATAGGACCGCGCGTGCAAAGTTCTGTCTGTGGACAAAGTAGTTTACTCCCCTCCCCACCCCAAGTGTGTCCGAGATTCTGAGTCATACCCAGACACACACGTTACCACCTGCCTCGGGTAACCGGGAGGAAGCTGACCAAGCTGCTTCCGGTCCAGGAGACTTATAAAACACTGCGAAAGCTACAGGTGAATGTAAATATTCCACCACGATCTTCCCGCACAGGTGCCCCGGGATGCTGCTTTTAGAGGCAGTGGGCGAAGCGAGGACCGCGGAGGGACGTCCGGAGACCGGGAAGATCCAGCGCCAACACTGGCCCTGCGCCCGGGCTCTCTCCGTGGCCTCCTAGGCAGAGGTGAGCAAGGCCAGATCCCGCCAGCGGCCGCGTCACTGAGGTCAAGACCTCGCCCGGCGCCTTCAGCGCCCCGTCGTCCCCCGAGCCCGGGAGGAGAGCAGGGAATCGCCCCGTCAGCGCCAGGAGCCAGCGGGGACCAAACCCCCACTTCCCGCCGGCCGGTTGGCCGGAAGTAGTAGCGTCTCAAGCGCTCCGCCGGAACTCACTGGGCCGCGGCCTAGGGGCGGGTGCGGCGCGACGCAGGCTCTGCGCTCTTGCATCACCGCGTAGGGAGATGAGGGAGTGACGCATTAGGCGCGTAGAACGGTAGTGGGTGGGTCCAGGGAAATTAACCGTATCTGGCTCCGCCTCTTAAAGTTGCCTGGGTCTTGCGGTGTGGGCACAGCGCGGCCTTCAGCGCGGCTCCTTTAAGCGGCGCCGTGACACGTGTGTGCTGCGCCGAAGGCCCGGATGGTGCGCGTGCTGGGCCGTGGGCCTAAGGAGACGCCAGCGCTGCGCCGATCTGCGGCTGGCTGGCGACAGGCCTGGGTAGGTTGGAGTCGGGTCGAATCAAGGCGGTGTGCTCGTCCGGGCTGGGGGCTTACCTTGGGTCTGGGTGCGGGGAGGTGCGGCCGGGCGTGGAACGCAAAAGGCGTGGGAGCGCGTCCGAGAGGGATCCTAAGCGTTCCTGAGGAGGGCAGGATGTCAAGGTAGGGGATAGAGGGGGACCTGGGGATGCGCTGTCTGCTCAGCCGTGCGGGGCTACCAGGTAAGTTGGGAGGGCTGCGCCCCGGGCCCCCCGAGAATCAGCTGCTGTGGAGCGCAGAGTTCGCCTCGCTGGGAGCCCAGTGGATGTAGGGCACGGGCTCCCCACCGAGGCCCCGTTTGCGCAGAGTCGGGTTTTCTCTGCGGCGGCCTAAATCGGAGCTAGGGAGCGCGTTCTGTCCAGCTACAGAGCCCAGGTCTTGTTTCTCTTCACCAGGGGACGCAGGGAGGGCTCGTCCTGGCGAGAGTAACCTTTCTCATGGTCACGGGGCGTGTGGCGCGGCCCCGGGCCTTTATGCGGGAGCAGCAAGCGCGACAGGCGCATGGGGGGATACCCGGCGCCCACACAGCCCAGCTTCTGTAATAGGTGCCAAGAAGCCTCTGGGGGGAGAGGGTGAGGCTGGCCCGCGCCCACTCTTCAGGGGAGCCTCCTACGAGGATGCTGCCGGGGGTACCCTCCAAGGGCACTTCGAGGAAGACCCCTCCCCCCCCGCGGAGGGCGCCCCAGGAGGCCTGCTTCTGCCTTGGGCTCCTCCCCCAGCACCTGGTTGACTCGTGAATCTTGAATACAGTTTTTCCTGGAAAGTGAGTTTAAAGGGAGGGAGTTCATGTGGTGTTTGCAGGAAGCTGCCCTTGAGCCCTGAGCGTATAGCTGTCCAGGTCCTCTCCCCCAACGGAGAGTTGGTGGAGTGTCGCGTGGAGACGTGCACACGTGGGAGGGCTTGCTGGTGGATACAAGAACATTTTTTTCGTGGGTTCCTACAACTCAGAGAACAGTTTTAGATTATTGGCTAATATTTTAGGAGAGTTCAGTGAAGTAGAGGTTGTTCATTTTGTGGCCCCTTGGAAAATTGTCCGAAATCTCTGTCTGCATCAAGGAATGGGTTAATTTTTAAGTTACTTGAGTGAAATTGGGTTAATTCTCCCAAGTTTTGTTTATCCCCTGGCTAAGTGGTTCCCACATGTTAGGCTGTGGTCCATGACAAAGTTCTTTACGGTCCATGGTGAGATGTGAGTCCTCGTAGACAGCCATAACATCATAGATAAGATGTCTCTACTTCATAGCTTGTCCTATTTTCTCTGTAGTTTTGGGGAGTTGATAAGCTTTTCTTTAATTGAGACAGTCTTTGTCACCCTTGGTAGAGGGCTGTCCTATTTTCTCTGTAGTTTTGGGGAGTTGATAAGCTTCTTCTTTTTAATTTTTTTTTTTAGGGGCTCGGCGCCTATAGCTCAACCGGCTAAGGCGCCAGCCAC